ATTTAAAAATTGTCAAAGTTGAAATTTATAATAAAAACATAGTAAGTGGACTTAAACTTTTGGAAGCAACTGTATATTTTTTTTTTGAAATGCTTATATATACTTTTGATAATTATTGATTCAAAATTATGCCAAACCTTGTTAAGTTCTTAAAAATCATTTTTTACTTTTGGTTAGAAAGGTTGTGAATCAATCTCTTTAAACTTACTTTCTATCCAGAATTTGAATTTCTCTCATTATTTAGCTGTAGAATTTACTGAATCCGATATTTTCTTATCTTTTAATCTGTAATACTCTTGAGCTTGATTTTTAAATAGATTGTTTGTTGTTATTCTTATTAACAATAAAATATAATTACTATCTAATAGTATTTCCACTGAAATATTTTTAAATTTATATATATTATTTAAACTGATTTCTGGTGGTAACCATATATAGTCAATTTTATTATATAATATATTGTTCACTTATATAAATATAGTACTTTTTTTTCCTCAAAAGTTCTAGATATCTATATAGTTCCAATCTTCTAGGAAATTAAAAAGATCTATTTTAGTTTTTTTGTATTTAAATATTGTTTTTTTAGAGAATGACTAATTTGTTATTGGATTGATAACTATATTGAAATATTTCATAACTATAATCTTAAAGTGACTTTTTTATTTGTCTAGAATTTTATTTTGAAGTACTATTATAATAGTCTACTTATAGTTTTCTCTAATGACAGATATATTTAATAGATATAGTGCTTACATCTTGTTGATAGAAAGTTGGCTTCTATTATGTAACCTTCTATTTTTTCAATAAATTCTAGCTTTTTTTCAATACTTTTATTAATAAAAAATTCTATTTTAGATCTTCTAGATTTTTTATTATTTCTACTGTAAAAAATCTTGTGTATTTATTGTGAAGTAAATATAAATTCTACTGTTTTATTCATTAACTTGGTTTTATAAATATCTAGAATATTTATATCAAATTCTTAAAAAAGTTTGTATAACTTTTATTGATTCAAACTGGTATTAATCCCTCTAACATTGTGTATTTCAATTGAAATAATATTAGTTATTATAAAGTTATCTATAGCATACTTGTTATATAGTATATATTCTTTTTCAATTTTATTGATAGTATTTTTTTTGAATATATAAGTAAAGTCATCAAGTGATATATTATATATTATATAGAAAAGAGTTATATTGGTATCTATTATATTTTTTATAATTGTATCTTTTTTCTAAGATAAGCTTAATTCCTTTTGTGAGTTAAATTCTTTCCTAATATACTTTGATTGGACTGGTACTAATTTCAGGAGTAAATATTCTATTACCTTCCTTTTATCATATTTTGACTGCTTGTTTTTTTCTCGATTAGGTTTATTCTATTATTTAGTTATTTGAGATTGTTTAAAATCTGATAAAAAGAATCTTGATCACTTTTATTTTTAGGATAGGGACTTTTAGATCTATTATGTAAACTTCTTTTATTATAATAATTGATTAATACTTTATTATTATCAATAGTAAAGTGTTTAAGAATTTCTATTGTTTCAATAATATATTTATTATCATGAGAGTTGCATTTTTTTCTTTTTTCTCTTTTTTTTTGGATTCATCCTTTTCTTAAAATTACTATTTATTTTTATTTCTTTCTTAAATTTTATATTAACTGATCCTAATATTACTTCTAATATCAGTTTGATCTAACTGTCTTAAGTAAAGTTGGGTATGCATTGTTTTGGAATTAATTTTTTCTTCACTATCTTTACTTTTATAGTTTGAGTTAATTCTTCACTTTGCGTCATTTTTTTTCCAAAATGTTTCTTGGTATTCCAACTAAGTTTATAGTTATATATAAATATATATTGTCTTAAAACCTTGTACAAATCTTCTACTATTATAAAACAAACTATTGTATATTCTCTTTTTTTCAAGATAAAAGAATTTTTTGATATATAGCATACTTTGAACCTTATTTATTATATTGCTTTTGCTATGAGATTCATGAAGGTATTGTGTATACCATATAATTATAAAAATTGACTGTTATAATTTTTGAGAATTGCATCGATTTCATGATCATCTGATTCATGGTGAGTAAATATTATATTAAAGATATTTACTTTGATATAAATAAATTATCTATTATTTAGATTTATTGATTTAAAATAAGTCATGCTTTAATTCTTTTTTAAAAATAAAAGTGATTACAAATATAGATGCTCAAAATTTTTTCATATTTTTGTAAAACTCTTATTTGATCCTACTTGTTTACTAGATTTGTTATTGATCTTAATTGTTGTGATAAAATAATCTGTTTTGTTTGTGAACTTTTGGTGAACTTTGTTGTATTGTTTTGATATTGTACTAGTTAATACATACATGTTTATATATTTGTTTTATTATTTAATTAAGTATGTATATAATTAGAATATTCTATTGTTTAGTTTTGAGAAGTTTTTGATATTCTTTTGAACTTTGTAAACTTTAAGTTTTTCTTGATTTACTGTATCAATAAGAATTATTGTTTATGATATTTTTTTTAATGTTTAGAAAGATGTAAATTGATATTGATTTGGTTAGAAGCTTGGAAAGTTGATATTGAACTTTCCTAAATTTATTGTGAATCAGTTTATAGGTATGTTTCTTCCTTTGTAAAGTAAAGTTGAAATGATACTATATTATCTATACTTTTTTTAATTAATAAAAAGATTTTTTAGAAAGTGACTGGATATTGTGGTTTATTGTTGAGTCTTAGATTTTGAAAAGATAAAATGTTTTTAAGCTAGTTTTTCTTTTTTAAGAAAATTATTAAAAAAAAATTTTTTTAAGAAAAAAGAGGATCAATGAAAAGAGTTTTTTTTTTTTTTTTTGAATAAAAATTAATAGTATTAATATATCCGAGAAGTAAAATATTATTATTTAAATCTAACTTAATATATTTAATTAAGACTTTATTTTACTTAATTCAAATTAACTTAAAGAATTTCATATATTTTTAAAACAATATAATTTCTCAAATAATAATAAGTTAACTGTTATATGAATAATTTATATAATTTTATAGATGCTTATTTAATATTTCAATAAAATAATAATAATAATAATAATAATAAACTATTACTATATATATGTTAATATTGAACTCATTAGTAAAATAAAAACCTTTGGGTATAATAATTATTGTTATTTAATCATATTAACTTTTAATTATTTAATTAATTCTTAATTTATAATATGCAGTATAGTATATAAATTTTATTTTTTCAAAAAACATACTTGTTAATTTTACAATACTATTTAATGTTAAATAGAATAATAAATATATTTTCTTGTTACATATGAAACGTGTTACTCACAATATTATATGAGATTATAAATTTTACTAAAAAAGAAATAGAAAAAGAATTCCATGTTAAAGTAAGGAATGCAATAAAATTTATATCATGATTTGCAAAAACGCCGAGTAAACACGTAATTGCGTGATACTAGAATATTATTAGTATTATGTAGCGAATAATAACCAAAAACATACAGTATATACAGGATATATACGCATATTTTATTAAAGTAAATTTACTACAATTTATAAAAACAAAGCAACCAAAAATAAAGGATAGGGCGGAAATTTACAATTTGAAAGTAGGAAGGGGGAAGCGCATAATGATAAATTTTACAAGGTTATTTGGTAAAAAGAAAAAAAAAAAAGAAAAGAAAAGAAAAGAAAAAGGCACCTACGGTAAACTAGGCCTGTCTCCGAAACATTTTGCATGATTGTGATTGAGAATCGAACAAAGAAAGGAAAGTAAAGAGGATAAAATGAGATAGTGCAAAAGAAAGGGAAGAATCGAAATACATAAACGACGAATGTGTAGATGATCGCATGGGCGTGTGTGAAATATGAACAAATGAAGAGAATGTGTAATCTATTGTATATATAAATAAAGTTGTGCAACACTACTTCTATCGTAAAGCTTTTAGACTCCTATTATTAGAACAATGAAACAATGAATTAACCAAAAGGATTATACAACCCGATGCACACCACTCCACTTCCAAGTCTATGCACGTTTTTTCTTATAATCGTTTTAGGAAAAATAATAATCCAATTCTCCAATTGGAATATCATAGACAACGTAATAGAATATGATGGCAATTATAACCATAACTATGGGAAAAGGTGAATGTTAATGATTAAACTCGTATGAGATGATGAAATCACCGATCGAGAGAAAAGAATAAATTAAATACATACTTGAAGTCCATACGAGCATTCGGTTGCCTCTACTACTCGAGCCGGTAATCTGTGATGATTGACAATCGTCATGACGAAATTGGTCATTTTGAATTGTTGCCGTCTGATCCGACTCTAAACTATCAGTGGTGAAATTCGGAGGTAAGAATTGAGATGGTGGTGGTGGCGGTGGTGGTGAACAACAATCATCGTCAAATTCATTGGGTCGGCCAACGAAATCTTCCTCATTCTTTCGACCGTACCTAAAAGTATTTTCCAAGAATTCTTTTGTTGACGCATTAAGCGATGGAACAAATTCCGGTTCGGGAAACGAGGAGATCGGTGGCGACGAAATTTTTTCTGCGACAGGAGGTAATGGTGTGAAGCGCTGCTGTTTTTGGAGGTACTCGCGAACTTTAGAATCGTCATCTCCGGCATATCCATAGTTGCTCATGCCGAATGATCGATCGTCCACGTCCTGGGATCCCAGGACACTCCATGATTTCTCTGAATTAAAAGAAGGATAAAAACGGTGCTTATTATCATCATCTTCTATCAAGTTTTCATTAAGTACACTCCACGAACGATCACTTTGAAAGGTCGCAGGGAAATGACTTTCTAATTTTTGTTGTATAGCAAGAGATTAGTAAACCGTGATGTCCATTATTGAATCACAAAAATTTCAGGACTTCTTAATAATAATAATTATTATTATTACTATAATTATAATTTTTTTCTTATCAATATTTTTTTTTTTTACCTTGAGACATAATTGAATTCCAGCCAAGATGCGAATATCAATATTAATTTCTTTAAAAATTTCCGTTACGAATTTAAAGAAAGAGATTTTCGTTGATATAAACGGTGAGACGGTGAGTCGGTATGATGAGAAAAAAATTGAAAAATTCAAAGGTAAAATTCATTGGGGTTTTTATATCAATTCCATCGATCACCCAGTTATCAACGGTTACAGTAAAAAGTATAAAGTATTTATATGCCTGATAAAATACTTTACGTTGTCACGCAGAGAGAAATTTATGTGTAACTAGTATGTAACGACGGTACCTACTTGATCACTTTGACTGCCCGACTTGCCAATCGACTCACCCAGAGATTGTCTGGGAGTATCTTAGTTTGAATGCTGACAAAAGAAAAAATAGTATAAGAAATTAGATCAAGAGTTTGATTAATTTAAAAAAAAATTCACATAAATTTTAGAGTATAGCTTTCTACAAGTACTTTGCATCGCATCGCGAATGAAAAACAAAAGAGTTTATGCGTGACCTTTTGTTTACGCAGTGTGGAAAGTTGAACTAGGACAAATCTGGTAATCGACCGGTTACCAGATGTGGTCATGAGTTCATCACAAAAAAATTAAAGCGCAGTCATGTTAAACAGAAATTTATTGTAATATAAAGAATAAAAAATAATGACACAAAATTATTAATTAAATATCCAAAAGGTAGAATAAAGTAACATCAGAAATTGTTGAAATCAACTGCGGCATTTATATCAAAGGTAACATGTATCGTAACGCATATAACTGATTATCCTTATCAAGGTAGCGAGTTGATTGACTACCTACAGAAAGTTTGTTTGATGCGAAGAGTGTAATGTAATATACAGTAATTGATAAATGAAGTCATCAGGATTCAAAAGTTCAAATTCAACAAACAATAATAACCTGTGTAGCTAGGAAGGAATTATATAATTGTGAGTTTCTAAATACATCTTGTTATTAGGTGTCATCACGACAAAGGAATGAAGCAATTTCTTTTCCACAGGGGCGAGATTGCATAATACATTAGCCATCGTAGGTTCCTTTCTTGCACACACACTATACCCTTTGAGGATAAAAATGCTTTTTTTTTTTTTTTTTAATGAATGAAGACTCTCTTGCAATTGATGTAATAAAAATTTATATTTGCTGGGAATCTGTAAACGGTAACAACAAAGCCTGTCCTATTCCCGTTTTGATCTATTCAAAATAATAAAATCTCCGTATATCCAATAAAATTCCCAATGTTGATATAACGTATGCTTTTATGCCTAAACCTAAATTTGTCACCTTTCCCAAAACGGATTAAAATTTTGGGTCCAGGTTAATTTAGTTATATTCACAGTTATCATATTGTTCTCATCCCATTCTCGCACATGTTAGTGACAATGAAGAGTCAAAATACTACGAATCAATCGAGAAACACGACCGGCTGTTTCAAAAGTAAGTTCCATTTACTTCCCTGTCTATGCTGTCAATATTAAATCGATTTTTTTTTTTTTTTTTTTTTACTGCACAAATCACGATAACACCCACAACACTAAGCAAATGAACTCGTTAATGACAAATTGCTACGCGACTAATTGCTTGCCGATCGAAAATATCACTTTATTAATCAGACGAATAATGATCGAGCAAATTGGAGAGACCCCATTGTGTACAAATTTAGCATTTTTGAATTAAATTAAAGAACGCGGAGTTTAAGAAAACGTGTATAGTGGTGCAACGTTCACTGGGGTCCTTCCAAAATCGGAGGAGGCTTGTGAATCATTAATTTAATGAATCGCGAATTTCAATAGGAGAACTAACATCCGGGTGATACTGCGTGATCCTTTCCCACCGATGTCACCATACCGTAGCGTGGGCTGCGCCGATTATGTTCTGATACCGTCCACGGTATCACTGATTGCGGAAAATTATGCAAGGCTGCGTGTGAACACTGCATAAAACCTTAATTAGGAGATGGTGTCTCGAAGAATAGCTACGTGCGCACCATTTAATATCAGGTGCAATATTTAGCCGCCAGCGAACAAAGTTAATAAACATTCTTCTACTGTAATAGACTTATTCTAGTATCTTGGAATTTCGATTTATCGTATTTCCTGATTTTAATTAACAGAATACACACAACCAATCAAGGATTAAACTTAGCCTTTTGTATGTACAGTATGCGCGCGTATGCATCCTTTTGTGTTTCTTTCATGCCGCAACAAAGGTATCTTCGAGATTTGTGTACCCTCAATTCACGAATCAACATTCTGTGCTTCATAAAAATAATAAGGCTGTCGAATTAACTCCAATTGAATCTCTCTGGCTTCGAAGTTACAGGGATATTAAAGAACAGGTCTGATTCAAATATCATGAATATTACAATTATCTTAATGCGCTTCCTATTGAGATGTTAAGAGAAGGCGTATACTTAAAAAAAGATATCCTTAGAAAGAAAAATATAATGTACAGTATATCTTTTTTTTTTTTTTTTTGCGACCTTTCCACGTGACAATGTATTATGATCTAAATTTTAAACCTCTTTAACTATAACTGTAATATTCGAATATAGATGATAAAAAAACATTCAACTTATATTGTTATGCAGTATACATTGCATTAATAACATAATTGTGTTGATATTGGTACTCAACAAAGTTTGTTGTATTTTAAATTTTTATTGATTAAATTGTCAATTAAAAAATCAAATCAATATTATTATTATTAAAATAATTGGTTAAAGATTTTTTTTTAAAAATAAAGTGCTAATTTAAGCTTAAATAATATTCGTTTACTTAAATTGGTTTTATTTGAATATTATTTATTATTATTATTTAAAAACTTATGGTTTATATAAAAAAGATAAATTTTTTAAATAGTATTATATTTATTTTCAAGCTTATATACAGTATTAATTTTAACTATTATAAGTGATTGATAAAAATTATCAAACTAATTATTTACTAAATATTAAATTATTAAATTATTATTATAAAAAAAAAAAAAAGTATATAAATGTATTATATGATAAGAAAATATTAAAAATAATAATATAACTTAAAATTTTTTATCATATTTATTTTAAGTTATACATTATTATCAATAATTTATTATTATTAAATATTTTTATAAAATTATTGAATTGTTAGAAACTATAAAAAGGTAGATTGAAAAAAACGTATACAATATATTTAAAAATATTTAATTATTAAAAAAATTTGAGTTTAATCAGTCCTTTTTCCTAAAGTATTTTTCCAGCTTAACAATCTTTATATCTGGATCAAAAATCAACTTACAATCCTAAAAAAAATTTTTTTCTGGCTTTTTTTTAAAGATCTATTTTTTTTAAATTATCTTTCAATAAAAAAAATTTAATAAAAAATATTTTTTTTTAACTATCTAAAAAATTTATTTATCTTTATTTAATTTTTATTTGTAATATTTATTAAAGTATATTTATAAATCTTATAGTAATCTTATTAATAGTATGTATACTTGACTTAAAATTTTATTTTTTTAATTGTCATTAAAATAAAAAAAAATTATTATCCAAAATTTTATTTAATTAAAATAATAAAACTAAAAATAATTATTAATTTTTTATTATCCAAAAACTTATTGCTTAAATTTTATATTTTATAAATTTAATATATAAATTAATTTAAATAAATAAATAAAATAAAAATAATGATCAATAAATTCTTTTTTTTTGTTAATAACATTATTAAAATATATGATATAATCAATAAAAACTTGTTTATAGTTTACTTCTGATGTATTTTATATCAATTAATTATTTTTAATAAAATTTAAATTATTTAAAATTTTAAAATTAAATTAAAAAAAAAATTTTTTTTTAAGAATCAAAAAAATATACCAATATAAGAAAAAAACAATAATAAATAAATAAAATTTTAAACTTTAAACTTATATTTTTTCTATTTTTTTAAAAAAAAAACTCCTTTTATTAGGTCAATTATATATATTTTATTAAATATTTATAAATTATTTATATAAAATATAATATTAAAATTAAATTTTTAATCAACTTACTTATTTTAATTATTATTACTTGAAATATAATTCTAAAATAATTTATTATTTTATCAATAATTCTAGTAATAAATTTTTTTACTTATAATATTATTGCTTATAAATTATTACTACAAATTACTTTTGTAAATTTTAACTTTTCTATATTTGATATTTTTTATTAAAATCTTTTTTAAATTTTTATCTTTTAATTTTTTTTTTTAAATATTAATACTTTTATAATCATAATATTAATCTTTTGATTTAATAAATTTAAAAAAAATTTTATATTATTATTATTATAAATTTATTATTTTTTTTTTTATTTAAATATTTTTTTATATTTTATATTTCAAACCTTTTTAAAATTGATTATATATTTTTTT